TTCTTTATACAGTGGAATTATCTTCAAGACAGCTTACTGTCATAGTATGTCCACACTATGGTCAGTTTTACACAATAATTATGTCTTTGACATCTGTTGTTGTTAAGTGCCGTTGAGTCAATTCTGCTTCATAGCAACCCTGTGTACAACAGAACAATACACTGCCTACTCCAAGCCATCCTCACAATCACTGTTCTGTTCGAAACATTGTTGCAGCCACCTTGTCAATCTATTTCATCTTCTTTTTTTAGCTGACCTTCTACCAAATATGATGTCTTTTCCAGGGATTGGTCCCTTCTAATAATATGTCCAAAGTATGTGAGACAAAGTCTCACTAACACAGTTTCTAAGGAGCATTCTGGCTGTTCTTCTCCCAACACAGATTTGTTCATTATTCTGCCATTCAATGATATGTTCTTTATTCTTCACCAACACCATAATTCAAAGGTACCTTTTTTTTTTTTTCCTGTTTTCCTCATTCCAGTTTTCTCATGTATATGAGGTGACTGAAAAGACCATGGCTACGGTCAGACACACTTTAGTCTGTCTAAAAATATAATTTTTATTTAAAGCAGATACCTCCTGCAGACAATTTGCCCAATGCAGTACATTGTTTAATGCCTTCTTCCAAGGACATGTATTGTGGATCCAAATAAAATGAAATCTTTGTTAACTTCAATCTTTTCTCTATTTATCATAATGTTGTTTATTGTCCAGTTATGAGGATTTTTATTTTCTTTAACTTGAAGTGTAATCCATACTGAAGGCAGTAGTCTTTGATTTTCATCAGTGAGCACTTCAAGTTCTCTTCAATTTCAACAAGCATCTGTATAGTGCAGGTTGTTAATGAGTCTTTATCCAATCCTGATGAAACATTAATTATATACTCTAGCCTGTAGGATTATTTGGTCAGTGTACAAATTGAATAAGTTCGGTGAAAGGATACAACCCAGATGCACACTTTTCCTGATTTAAATAAACCATGCAGTATCTCCTTTTCTGTTCAAATAAATTGTTGTTGTTGTTGTTATGTGCCGTCGAGTCAGACCTGCCTCATAGCGACCACTCCTTGGGTTTCCGAGGCAGTAACACTATGGAAGTACATTGCCCCATCTTCCTTCTGAGGAGTGACTGGTGGGTTTGAACTGCCAGCCTTCTGGTTAGCAGTCATGTGCCTTAGGCACTATGCTACCAGAGCTCCTAATGCCTCTTGGATTATGTATACATTCCATAAGCCCACCAGTTGAATATCTTTACAGAGTCAATAAAACTCAGGTAAACATCTTTTTGGTTCTCTGCTTTCAGCCAAGATCCATTTGACATCAACAATGATGAGCCTTACTTCAGGTCCTCTTTTGAATCAGCTTCAATTTCTGGCAGTTTCCTGTTGATGTACTGCTGTAACCATTTTTGAACTATCTTCAACAAAATTGTACTTATGTGTGATATTATTATTTTTTATTGTGCTTTGGGTAGAAATTAGAAAACAAATTAGTTTTACATTCAACAGTTCATGAACATTTGATTTCATGGCCCCAATTACTCTCCCCAAATGCAAAAAAAAACCCTCTCCTTGTTTCTCCTCCTTGTGACTGCTCCCTCCCTGTACCTTGTTTATCTTTGCATTCCTGTCTGTCTAGCTTTCCCTCCATGTGACTGCTGCCCTTTTGGTGTCTCATGACGATTGATCTAAGAGGGGCATCTCCCTAGAGTAGATAGGTACATCACACTGAGGTAGGTGTTCTTCATGTAGGTCTTTTTACTGTCGGACAGAGAGCCAATCCATAGAAATGAGTCCATTTGTAGGCCTGAAGGTTAACCCAGGGCCATAGTCTTAGGTGTTCCACCAGTCTCTATCTGACCAGTAATTCTGGTCATTTTTGTGTTTTTGAATTTTGTTCCACATTTTTCCTCCCACTTTATTCAGGATCTCCAGTTTTGATCCCTTTCCAGTGGTAGGCTTAGATGGTAGCCAGGCACAATCTAGTTCTGGTTTCAGTGTCGTGAAGCCTGAGGTCCTTGTTGTCTTTGGATTAGTTGTTTCCAATTGACTTTGATTTTCTTCACTCTTCTTTGCTCCACCCAAGAGGATACCAATAGTTGCATCTTAGATGGCCACTCAAAAGCTTTTAAGACCCAATCACTACTCACCAAAGTAGGTTGTGGAACAGGATTTTTATGTGTTATGCTGTGCCAGTTGAGCATGATGTCCTCTAAGACTATGGTCGCAAGTCCACAGGCCCAGCAATTCTCTCTATCAAGGTGTTTGGTTGTCTCTGAGAAGTTACACCAACCCTGTCTTCTGTTGCTTCTATAAGGTATGTGACTAATTCTGTAGCACAAATACATAAGTAAGAATATCTTCAGCCAAATCTACCTTTGGTCTAGGGTACATTCCTGTTTCCCTACGTCCACCTGATCTCACCTGTCTATGCATTTATCCATAGCCTTTTGTTTGGTGCTAGTGATAATGCATTATTGAGCATGTAATAGTATTTGCCTCTGTTGTCTGTTTATTTTGTGCACATTTCAGTATCTCTCCTTTCTCCAATGTCACCATGCTTGTCGCAGACTCTTTGTGTGTGATATTATTGATATCGTTCAACAATTTCTGCAGCCTGTTGGATCTAATTTCTCTGGAATAGGTACAGATATGGATGTCTTTATATTGGTTGGCCAAGTAGCCATTTTATAAGTCTTGACATTGAAGAGTGAGGTACTCTAGCCTTGTATTAGCTTTGTGAAACATCTCAGTTGATATTTCATCATTCCTGCAGCCCTGTTTTTTGCCAATGCTTTCAGTGAAGCTTGAACTTCTTTTCTCAGTACCATTGGTTCTGTGCAATATACTACCTCCTGAAATGGTTGAACATCGACCAATTCTTTTTGGTACAGTTACTCTGTGTATTTCTTCCATCTTCTTTTGATGCTTCCTGCATCATTCAATATTTTGCCTATAGACTATTTCAACATTGCAAATCAAGGCTTAAATATTTTCTTCAGTTCTTTCAGTTTGAGAAATGCCAAGTGTGTTCTTCCCTTTTGGTTCTCTAATTCCAGGTCTTTGCCCATTTCATTATAATGCTTTATTGTTTTTTTGAATTGCCCTTTACAATCTTTTGTTCAGCATTTTTACTTCATTTCTTCTGTTCACTCTAGTTACTCTTTTGACATCTTATTGTCTTTCTTTCCTGTCTTTTTGTTGTTGTTGTTCTTGTGATTTGAATGAAAGTTTACAGAGCAAATTCATTTTCCAGACAATAGTTCATATACACTTTTTTTTCATAACATTGACAGCAATCCCCAGAATATAGAATCTCTCTTCCCATTCCATCCCTCTGATTACCCTTTCCCTGTTTCCTTCTTTCCTATGTATTCCAGCCCTCTAAGTTATCTTCCTGTGCAAATACTGTCCTTCTGTTCTTCCATGGTTGATAGTTTACCTACCTGGTGCAAATGTTCAGCTTATACACTTGTCTATTGTTTGGCTGGAAGCCACAAAAGTGAGTTCAATTCCAGGCCTGAAAGGTCACTAGGAGCCCAGTCATCTTAATGACCTATTGGTTTCTTCATATATGATGTCATGCCACAACTTGCTTGCTCGTCTGTCATTAGTTTTGTTGTTGTTGTTGTTATGTGCCGTCGAGTCTGCCCCAACTCATAGCAACCCCTCCTTGGGTTTCCGAGGCAGTATCATTATGGAAGTAGGATTGCCCAACCTTCCTTCTGAGGAGTGGCTGGTGGGTTTGAACCGCCAGCCTTCTGGTTAGCATTCAAGTGCTTTAGCCACTATGCTAAATGCATTAAATATATTCTTTTTTATTTATTTATTTATTTATTTGAAGAGGGAAAGCAAAAGGCTTATTATATACTGTATCTGGTGAGGTCTACATGTTTAGCCTAATATGTGTATAATTCTTATTTAGGGAATAATTTTAATATTCTAGAGTATCAAGTGTATCTAGAGTTTCAAGCATATCAACTTTAAAACAAAAAAAAAAAATTAAGCTTACTTACTACTTTCCTTCATTACAATACACTCTACCAAATATTTTAAATTTGTGATTCATGATATTTTTTCTTTACCTCAGCGATGTCCAGTATTATAGCTTCTCTGTCTCCCTCACCCTTGTCCTCAGCAACTATATTTCTTCTTATATTTGTTAGCTGTTATAGCACAGGCTAGAATATTTTCAATGAAGGAAAGATTATATAAAAATAAATCTATATTTTCTTTTTCATACATTTTCAGTTGAAATCATTTGCACATCTCAGTGGGAATATTATTCAGTATGACTCACACACAAATAGAAAAGGGGATGCAGAATAAAAAGAAATGTCTTACGGAAAATACATTGGATAAACATCTACCCAGCCTGACTGCTCCCTCATCTCATAAAGCTTGGGTGTTTATATTTTATCCTCTCTTTGTTCATGTCAAATAAACAAAAAGAAAAAAGAAAGACGTGCAGATTACATTATAAACGAAATCAATGTGAAAAGCCAAATACATGCTTAAAATATATTGTGTGTTCTTATACATGATGGCATGATATAAATCTGTCACAATCTTCTACTTGAGAAGGATTGTAAAGATAATGGCTAGCTTTTATTGTACCTAGAATAACGAACAATAATAGTAATAAAAAATGCTGTCATGATCTCAATCATGGCAACCCCATGTGTGCAGAGTAGAAATGTATTCCATAGGGCTTTCAAGGCTGGGACTATTCAGAAGTGGATTGCCAGGCCTTTCTTCTGAGGTGCCACTAGGTGTGCTGAACCACCAACCAACTGCTTAACCATTTACACTACCCAGAGACTTTCCCTTGAACAAAAGAAATAGTCAACATATAATTTGTAGTCAATTCTAAGATTTAATATGTGTCTGATCAAACTACAGAGATTTGTAAGCCTCAATGAATATCATCATATTGTTTATTTTTAGAGAAGTGAATTCATCTGCAGTGGTAAAGTTTAACCTGCCTTATTTCTTACAGGTACCACTGTGCCAGCATTGCTGAACAGCACTTCCAATCAACTCTACTTACATTTTCAATCTGATATTAGTGTTGCGGCTGCTGGTTTTCATCTGGAATACAAAAGTAAGGTCAACTACTCTGCATTTGGCTTTGTTAATTAAGAAATTTTCTTAAAGGAAAAGTCAATCTGTGCTTTTTATACAGTAAAGTATTATTGTCTTAAAACTATGTTTAAGACTTGCATGAAATTGGGTCTCACAAAAATTATCACTATAAAATGTATGTTATAAAAGACAAATTAATTGTAAACTGTATAAGGTAATATTTGGAATAATTAGATAAAACCACTGCTGTATTTCAGGTTGTTTGTGTTAAAGAGCACAAAAGATAATGTTGCTAGTTTTCTTGTGAAGGGAAACAAATATTATTAGTATCCAAAAAACATAGAAAACCATAAAGCCATAATATTCAAATAGGTTATGATTACAAGTTTTTTTCTATTTCTAGTCTCAAAGGCCCTTAAAAATCAGAACTAGCAAAGAGCAGAAACTTCATTGCCTACATTTGTGTATTATTCATTTTAATTGGAAGTATGCATTGCAAAAGAGACTCTAACCTTTTAAAAATGGATGTGAGACTGAGTTAATAGTCTGATAAATGGGATGACAAAGGTCAAATTCACAAATCTTCATTGGCGTTTGAATATGCAGGTAAACCTTGTAAAAGTGAAATAAGAATTTCCAATGAGAGTGAGGTTTATTTTAGGACATGTTTTCAAGCACTAAAAAATGCTTAATGTTGATATTCATCTCCTTTAATAAGCATTTGCAAATAAGCAAATACATGGATAAGCTTTAATAAGTGATCTTTTGAATTGAGATAAACAGTGTGCTAGAATGTAAATGCATTCATGTTTTTGAAAGGCCGATTTCCAGCTGATGATGAATATTCCCAGCCAGACACAAACTACAGGGCTGTTTCACATTCTGGTTAAATTTCCCTACTCATTACCAGCATTTGTATGCAAGTTTATTCCAATTTATTTGAATAGAACTACTTTAGTGACAGAATAAAATGATACTGTGGATGTTATTTATGTAGAATGCCTTTGGAAAAAGCTGCTACTTTGATACATTTTATGAACATCTGTAGGTAGTAAACTATAAACTTCATTTGTAATAGTGTTAAAAAAAATACACTAATATTTTTAACAGTGTTAGAATTGATGAATGCTCTTATCTATTCTTCTGAGAGTTATCTAGTGGCTTCTAGCTTTCATTCACATCATATTGAAAGAGGTGGTAGTAACATAATTTTTCAGTAGTCTGTCACATACACACATGGGCTTCGGTTCCAAAAATATAATTATTTACATTCAACTTTATCCCAGTATATATAATTAATTAAGAGTGATACTAAAGTATACCTCATTGATATGAATCTTGTTCAAGAATCTAAGACTTCATTTACTTACTTAAAATATTTATTTTGTATTCAGCTAAGAACAATTCTGTTTTCATTTGTTATCAATTTATTTTTCAAGTGCTTTCTGATGCTCACACATTCTGATTATTTATGTCATTCATTACTTCCCATTCATTTAGAGGTATCATTTCCCTATTTGAATACCTTGTTGCAGAGTTTGAAATATGGATTATATGAGCTGTCAATGAAATGAATGTTATTAAAATCAGCATTAAAGGGTATAGTAGTATAGAAAGAAGTTACTAAGAAATAATCTTCCCAGACTAAGACAGACTCAGAAGGAAGAAGCCATCCACTTCTCAAAGAATTAGCCAGTGAAAACTTTAGGAATAGCAGTAAAATACCATCTGATATATTATGGGAAAAGTTTATGAATAGCCCTGAAACATTGTCTGATAAAGTGCCAGAAGATGAGCTCCTCAGGTTGGAAAACACTCAAAATATGACTGGGGAGGAGCTGCCTCCTCAGAGTAGAGCTGACCTTAATGATGTGGATGAAGTGAAGCTTTTGGGACCTCCATTTCCTGAAAATGAGAAGAAATAGCTTCAAAAATCCATTAAAAATCAGAACGTGGAATGAACGAAGTATGAAGCTAGGAAAATTGGAAGTTGTCAAAAATGAAATGGAACACATAAAGATAGATATCCTAGGCATTATTGAGCTGAGATGTACTGGTTTTGGCCATTTGGAATCACACAACCATATGAATTACTATCCCAGGAATGACTAATTGAAGAGGAATGTCATGGCATTCATCATCACAAAGAATATTTCAAGAGCTCTGGTAGCATAGTGCCTAAGGCACTTGACTGCTAACCAGAAGGCTGGCGGTTCAAACCCACCAGCCACTCCTCGGAAGGAAGGTTGGGCAATCCTACTTCCGTAGTGATACTGCCTCGGAAACCCAAGGAGGGGTTGCTATGAGTCGGGGCAACTCGATGGCAAATAACAACAACAACAACAACATTCTGAAGTAAAATATTGTCAGTGATAGGATAATATCCATATGCCTCCAAAGAAGACCAGATAATACTACTATTTTTCAAATTGATCCACTAACTACCAGATCCAAAGATGAGCAAATTGAAGATTTTATCAACTTCTATAGTTTGAAATTGACCAAACATGCAATGAAGAAATGTTGATTATCACTGGTAATTGGAATGCAAAAGTTGGAAAAAATGAAGAATCACCAGTAGTTGGGAAATATGGCATTGGTGATAGAAATAACACTGGAGATTGCATGATAGAATTGTACAAGACCAAAACTTTTCATTGCAAATACCTTTTTCAACAACATAAATGGAAGCTGTACATATGGACTTTGCTGGATGGAGTACACAGGAATCAGATCAACTACATCTACAAAAAGAGGCAATGGAGAAGCTCAATATCTTCAGCCAAAAGGCCAGGAGCCGACTATGGAACAGACCACCAACTCCTCATATGCAAGTACATGTTGAAACTAAAGATAATTAAAGAAGTCCATGAGACCCAAAATATGACCTTGATTATATCATGCCTGAATTTCGAGACCATTTAAAGAATAAATTTAACACAATGAACACCAATGACTGAAAACCAGAGGGATTGTGGGATGATATCAAGAACTTCATCTATGAAGAAAGCAAGAAGTCATTAAAAAAAAAAAAAAGACAGGAAAGGAAAAAAAAAAAAAATGAATGTCAGAAGAGACTCTGAAACTTGCCCTTGAACGGAGAGTAATCAAACTGAACTCACCGCTGTCAAATTGGATCTAACTCATAGCGACCCCTCCTTGGGTTTCCAAGGTGGTATCACTATGGAAGTAGATTGCCCAATCTTCCTATTGAGGAGTGGCTGTTGGGTTTGAACCACAAGCCTTCTGGTTAGCAGTCAAATGCCTCAGGCACTACACGACGAGATCTCCTTGAATGGATAGTAGCTAAACAAATGGAAAAATCGACAAGATAAAAGCTGAACAGAAGATTTTAAAGGGCAGCTCAAGAAGACAAAGCCAATTATTATAATGAAGTGTACATAGACCTGGAGTTGGAAAACCAAAAGGGAAAAGTGCACTCATTATTTCTCAAGCTGAAAGAACTGAGGAAAAAATTCAAGCCTTGAGTTGCAATATTGAAAGATTCTACGGGCAAAATATTGAATGATGCAGGAAACATCAAAAGAAGATGAAAGGAATACACAGAATCATTGTGCCAAAAATAATTTGTTGATATTCATCCATTTAAGGAGGTGGTGTATTATCAAGAGGAAATGGTATTGAGAGAAGAAGTCACAGCTACACTGAAGAAACTGGTGAAGAACAAGGCTCCAGAAATTGATGGAATACTCATTGAGATGTTTCAACAAATGGATGCCATGCTGTAGGCACTCATTCGACTATGCCAAGAGATTTAGAAGACAGCTACATGGCCAACTGACTGGAAGAGATCCACATTTATACCCATTCCAAAGAAAGGTGATTTCACAGAATGTAGAAATTATCGAACAATATCATTAATATCACAAGCAAGTAATTTTGCTGAAAAAAATTAAAAATTGTTGCAGCAAAACACGATATAATGTGGATGAACTTAGAGGACATTATGCTGAGTGAAATAAGTCAATCACAGGAAAAATATTTTATTAGTCCATTACTGTAAAAGTCAAGAAAGGTTTATACATGGAAGGAAATTTTCTTTGTTGGTTATGTGGGATGGGAGGGGAGAAGAGAGAACACCTCTAGATAGGTAGAGGCAAGTATTGATTTGGGTGAAAAGAGAGAGACAATGTACCAAATGTGAGTGATCAGCACAGTGGCATTGAGAAAGAGGAAGACATAGAGAGGTGCATGGGAGGTACAGACAACAAAGATGAACACTTTTGCACATAGAGTACTGTGTTGTCAGTGAAGGCAAACATTGATAAATGGGTGGGTGGACAGGCTGAACTACTAGGTATATCTGTACAGAGGGGAATGTGGCCAAGACCATGTCTGCATTGGCAGACAATGTTTCTACAAGTGTATCACTATGGTCTGTAATAATTACCAGGTATATAGTGGAGCTGACAAGGGACAAGGTTGTAGTCACTTCTTGGCTACAGTCAGCTATCCAAAGAGAGGGAGTGAGTAGTTGGACCTGTGTATGCTTGGGACTATAGTCACAGGGGACATCAAGCTCAATTGTCATAACATTCTACACAAAACATTGCTCTACATACTACTTTGGTGAGTAGAACTGAGACCTTATAAGCTTGCAAGCAGCCATCTAGATGTAACTATGGGTCTCTCTGCATCCAGAGCAAAGAAGAATGAAAAAAAAAAAAAAAACGCATAGAAACAATTAGTCTAAGTGACTGGTGTACCGTGTGATCCTCAGCCTATAAGACTATGAGTCCAGAAGAACTAGATGGTGCCCAGCTACCACTGTCCACCACTCAGAAGGGGATCTCTGTAGGTGATCCTGGATAGAGTGGGAGAACAATGTGGAACAAAACTCAAAATCATAAAAAAAAAAAAAAAAACGAGAAAAGAAGGACCAGTTTGGCTGGTCTGATAGAGCCTGATGGAACCCCTGAGACTATGGCCCCTAGTTCCCTTTCATGTCTGAAATTGAACCCACTCCTATGGCTTCCAGTTGAACAAAAGACAGGCATA